ATATTTTAAATTTAATATAATTTATTATATAATTAGTATAATTTTATTTAATATTATTTATTAGAAAATACCTTACTAGCCCGCCTTAGTGTTAAGCACTATCTTAGATAGTGAGGGCTTTGCAAGCTGAACTAAAAGTGGGGCGGGCACGAATAGCACCTACAAGCGTCCCGCTTTTAAACTTTCAGACTAAAATTGTCACACGATAGCAGTAGCACTAAGCTAGATATTACTTAGATGATAGTTAAAAGCCTTGAATTAATCTACAAAAGAGAGAATTATATGCGCTCTTTAAATAAGTGCGCCTAGCTCTACGCTTTAGGTGCGTATTAACTTAATTCTATGCGCGTGTGTATCTATTAGCTCTAGGTAGATATGCTAGGGCGCGTTAGGCATGCTGTTGCTGTGCAATATACCCCCTAATTAAAGCTACGTTTAAAGCTATTGCAAGCCTTAGACTCTGCAAGCGTGCGCTTAATAGAGCGTTTAATTAAAGCTCTTATATGCCTGCTAATGCCTCTAATTCGCTCTAATTCTATTGTTTTGCATAGTATAGCTATACTATCTTTTAGGTAAATTAAAAGTAAGCACTATATGCTTATTAGCTAGCTGCTCTTTATATTTATATGCGCTTTCTAAGAGTATTATAAGCTCTCTTTTTTCTTTCTTCTGTAACTGCCTTTATATAATTATAAGCTTATATTTTAATTATTGCTATTATTATTATTGTTATGCCTACTAAGTTAGGCAGGTCTATTTACGCTGACTGCTAGCAGCTAGTACTAGCAGATTAAGGTATATTTATATTTACTGTGTTTAAGGAGCAGCCTAGTAGTGCTGCTTCTACTCTTAATACTAAGGAGGCGCTAGTAACGCCTTCTTTCTCTATATATTGTTATTTCTTGCAGCATGCTAGGCCCACAAGAGTGCAGAGGGTAAGTTATGCTTAGAAGCATTGCTCTATAAGTCCTACGCGCTAACTGTTAGACTAAATCTCTAGAGCTAGATGTACTGCGTAATATGCTTTATAAGGGATGTATTTGCGCAGCTATTACAGGCAAAGGCAATAAAGGTTGCTGCTTTAAGGTAACTACTAGTTGCTCTAAATAATGCTGCTTATATAAAGCAGGCAATTATACTTGCCAGCCTTAGTAAGCTTAATTTTGCTCCTTTAATTAGCTAATTACTAATTGTATATATAGTTATATTATATTAGTCTTTATTGCTAAGTAGATACTGTTAGCGCTAGGTGTAGATAGTAAGGTAAGCTCCTAATGCTTTATTACCTCTAATTCTACGCTTAATTTTAATACTCTAAGCTATAGATATATAATAAGTGCTATTAAGCACTTTAATTGCAGCTTAACTTTCTTATAGAGTCTAACTCTATATATAAAGAGTCTACACTTAGTATTAGAGCTAATAATACTGCTAGAGGCTTATTAGCAGCTAGGGGAAAGAAAGCTTATATAAGAGCTTTACTTAACTAGGTTACAGACTTAGTTATTAAGAAGTAAGCTTTACTTTTATTATTCTATTATATATATATTTTAATGTAAGTAGTAGCTTGCTTTTGCCTATAGGCATTTTAGCGTTTAGCATTTTAGCGTTGCTTTATATAATTTTATTTGCCTTCTAAGCGCGCTTTACTTAGAAGGAGTAGGCGCTTATATATCTAAGAGGCAATTAATTTAATGCCCCCCCTTAGCTGTGCTCTTGTTTGTATAATTATAATATTATAAGAGTTAGCTTTAGCTGCTTAAATTAACTAAATTAAGCAGGCCTCTAAAGTGTTTAAAATGCTGCCTGTTTAATGCCTTTATAAATCTATTAGTAGGCATCTTAGCTATAGGTAAATATATAACTTTAAAGCTTTCTTTTTTATATTTCTATTTTAACTATATATTATAGATATTAATATAGTGTAGATGTATATTAATTTGCTTGCTTAAATTAAGCATAAGATAAATTATCTGCTAATTATTGTATTAAATATTATAATTCTCTCTTAAGTTAAAATAAATATTGCAAAAAAGGCGCTTTAAGGCTATAATCTCCTTTGCTGCTTATTGTAAAGCAAGTAGTTTAGCCTTTATTATAAATATAGTTACTATATTCTAGCATATAGCTTTCTAGATAACTAGACCTCTAAATAACATAATAATATATTCTTATAATAACCTTTATGTGCTTAAATTATCTATATATAAAGTGTTACTTATAACTTTTAACGCTTTAATTTCCTCTATACTGCTATAATAAAGAGCAACTTTACTTGTTAAGGCTAAGTATTAAATAGCTTAGTCTACTGCCTTTTAATGCTTAGAGCCTAGGTTTATTAGAAATTGCAAAAGCTTAGAAGCAGCATAAGCAACATTTAGTCTAATTATAATTGCTGTATATAACAGAGAGCTAACCTTTTCCTAGTAGGCTTTAATTTCTTGCTTAGTTGCCTTACTAATGCGCTACATAAGCTTTATTGTAGAGATTAGTATAGCAGGAAAAGTAGCTTTCTGTGCTTAACTAAACTTTTAACTAATCTTTTCTATGTAAGCCTTGTAATAAAGGAAAATTTTGCAGTGTAGTCTGTCCCTAATAATCTAGATGCCTAGGAAGAAGCTTAGTTTGCCTTTCTCTTCTAAATTATATACTTACTTTAAGCACTAAACTATATAATCTACTGCTTGCCTTGCTTCTCTTCTCTTATAAAAGGCAAGTATAATATTATCTATAAAGAATATTAAATAGATATTCTAAGCTTTATTAAAGAAGATATATAGCTCTTCTTTGCTTAGATTAAGCCTAGCTCTCTTAAGAGTTATACTTAGCTCTTTAAACTATAAGCTTAGCAAGTCTTATAGCCTATATAAAGCTTTAAGTAATTAAACGTACTTCCCTAGTATTTTGTAACTATTAGAGAGCTTACATATTACTAGTATTATATACTTGCTACGCTTTGCATATAGAAAGGCATTCTTAACATTAAATTGCAGTAATTCTATATTATACCTAGCAGCTAGCGCTATTATAATTTAAAATATATATACTGTAAGTATTACTATATAGGTTTATTTAATTATAGAGTAGTTCTATAAATTGCTATATATATAAATGCATACTTTATATTTATTAAGATAACCTCTCTTATTAAACTTATAGGTATAAACCTACTTAAGAGGCAGCAGCTTAGACTAAATATTTATACGCTTAATTTCCTTCTAAGTGCCTTTATTATATAGTGTAGTAACCTCTATAGATATTGCTTTCTCCTATTAAGCTTTTAATAAGTAGTTTTACATCTTCTTCTAGGATCTAGGCGCTTTAACTAGATTAGTTAAGTAAACCTTCTCTAGATTAAGCTGTTATTAAAGCTAAGCTTTATTTTCCTTATTATATATTATATTAATTACTGCATAAACTATTATAAAGCTTTATATAGCTTTTGTATTTATATCCTGCTAATTAGGCAGAATATTCTCTAGCAGCTACTATAAACATTATATTAAATATATATTAAGACGTCTTCTACGTAAGGCACTCTAATCTTAGCGCTTCTTTCTAGCTTGCCTTGCGCTATAGCGTAGAGCTTTTATGCTTTATAAGCTCTCTATTCTATAGTTATTAATAGCAGACGCCTCTATTAGGACCTAGGCTCTCTACTATATATCTAAGTAAGTAGCTAACTTATTTAGCGCTTAGTAAGCCTTTAGCGCTAATATACTCTACTATTATTGCGCGTTAGTTAGTAAGATTACTTAAGTCTTGTCTCTAGTCTAAGCTAGTATTTATATTTAAGGAGGTTGTAACTTAATGCTTAGTTAAGCTTATAGTATACTAGTTAGCTGCTTAGGCCTGCTACTAGTATTATTATTTATATTAAATGTGTAATTAGGCGTTTAACGTAGAGTAGGAAGTTCTATATATATTTCTAGCTCTACTACGCTTAGTTCTTTATCTTTAGGGATTATTTAAGCTTCTACCCCTAAGGTAGAATATATATTAAGTTTTACTATAGTATTATCTTCTGTAAAGGAAAGTAAGTAGTTTACTTCTTTGTCTAGTTTATTATTAATTTAAAGAGCTGTAAATTAAGCTTTTAATTCTATTACAAGAAGCTTAACTGCGCTTTTTATATATATATTATAGAAGATAGACTTATTAAACGTTATATTTCTTATTGTTATAACTTTATTAATTATAACTTTATTAAGGCAAAGGAATTTATATTTAGTATATATTAAAGGCAGAGTATTTAACTAGATACTTAATATAGCCTCTAGGGCTTGTTTTGTAGTACTATCTATTATAGCCTGCTTTATAATCTCTTTTAAGTAGATATATACAGCAGCTATATATATAGACTTTATTCTAATTAGGTCTTAAGTCTACTATATACTCTCTTGTTAGCAATTAAGTATTATTATAGAACTAGATATCTAGAGTTTGCTGTAGTAATTTCTAACTAGTAATTTAGCAAGAGCTTATATTATAAAGATATACTACAGCTTATATGCTCTCTAACTATAGGTTTATAGGTAGGCCTATGCTTATAAGTATCTTAATTAAGTATAGCGTAATTAATTAGCCTGCTCTTTTAATACTGCTATTAGATTTATATATATAAGAGGGAGAGTTTTTAAGCTTAATCCCTTATATATATACTTAGTGTTAAAATATAGATTTGCCTGCTTGCTGAATTATAGCACTCTTATTATTCTATATAAACTTGCATATTAATAGCCTAAATTGCTATATAACCTAGTGCTTATAGTAAAAGAGTGTATTAAATACTATTTTCTATACTTTATTAGGGAGTAGATATACTTATATTATCTTAGAGTATTTATCCTTAAATACTAGGAGCTAATTTATGCTATTATAACTAAGTAAGTAATCTTAGAGGTCTTAATATATGCGCTAAAATAAATATAGCAATATATATTCTCTAGAGCGCTTAGATATAACTTAGTGTATAAGCACTTAAGTGCAGACGTTATAGTCTTTACGCTTAATTCTCTTTATATATATATTCCTAGCATTTAAGTAGAGCTTCTTAAGCGCAGCTTTACTAAGATAGCTAGCTTATAGATGCTATAATTTAGAGGTATCTTCTCTTAGCTTTAGAGAGTTCTTGCTAGGCCTCTAGCGCTAAGAGCTTTATATATATATATTCTAAGCGTAACTACTTGCAGTAATAATAGTAGAAGGGCTTAAGATTATAGTATTTTCTTAAGGGTCTTTTATATAGTTGTTAAGAGGCTTATATTTAAGGAAGGTTAAGCTGAACTTTCTAACTAGCTAAGCTAGCACTATGCTTCTTTCTAATAGTCTATAGTATAGTATATAATTACAACTATAAAGCTAAGCTCTCTTTTTATATAGAAGATTTACTAAGATAATATTAATATAGAAGTCCTTAATAAAAGCTATATTGCTAAGAGTAAGGTCTGCTGTTTTAGCGCTATTATTACTATATAGAATCTTTCTAAGTATATATATGCCTCTTCTAATAATTAGATAGCTTATTGCTTCTGCCTCTATATATTCTCCTATTGTCTCTCTAAATAAGCCTAGCTTAAGCAGATTAATATTATTAATAAGATATATAGTACTATAGTTATCTAATAGCATACTTAAGAAGAGCAGATATTTAGCTTATTTAAGCGCTATATAGATTCTAAAGTATTGCCTATAAGATTAAGCAATTTAGGGATCTATAATAGTACTATTAAATCTCTTATTAAAAGAGTGTAGTTTCTTGTTAGAGCTCTAGTTGTTCTATAAGCTTAGTTCTATGCTTTCTGCTAATAGCTTTAAGTGTAAGTTCTTTTATTTATTGCTATTATAGTAGTTCTTTATCTATATAATCTCTTTCTTAGTTAGGCGTATATAAAGTTTAAGACTTTAGTCTTCTATAAGTATATAGTATAGTCTTCTGTATTTTTAAGCGCTCTAGAGATAGAGAAGAGATAAATCCTTAGGCATATAAAAGTACCTCTTCTTCTTTGTATTATTCTAAGCGTTATTTTAATTATTACTGCTATTGCCTTAAGTATTATTATTAGCATTATTCTTATTATCTTTATAATTTAAGTATTTGCCTAAGGTAGTATAAATGCTTTTAGCTTTTAACTTACTATACTTATTCTAAGTAAGGTAGCTATTAAATATATTGCTAAAATCCCTAAGCATATAAGTCTCCAGTATTTTAATACTCTTGTTATTTCTTATTATATTAATTAGAGTTTTAGCCTAGCTAGAATTATAGCAAGATCTAGCTGCCTTAAGGAAATTATAGATAGCAATAATACTCTAGATCTTAGCGATCTTTTCTATAGTAGCATAAGTAAAAGCCTTACTCTATTAGAGATACTAATTCTTAGGATTTTAATTTGCATATTAAGCATCTTTAAGAACTGCTCTATAAGCTCTATAAGCTTCTGTATAGATGCTTAAATTGTTTAGAGCAAGCTATACCTTTAGCGCCTTAACTAGCTGCTTAAGAGTAAATTTAGAATTTATTCTCTCTAGCTTAACTATAGTTACTTAATATACACTTAGTTTAATTAAAACAGCAAACTAAGTATATATATAAATTATACTCTTCTCTTTATGCAGCTAGTTAGTATGCTAATACTTATAGTTCTTTTGCATTTAGTTGTATGCCTTAGTAACTATATAAGTTAAATTAAAGTAATAATATACTTTATAAAGAACCTTAGCCTTTGCTATTATTAAGCGCTTAAGCTTAGGGAAACTATTAGACTCCTGACTTCTACTCTAGTTAATTAAAGTCTATATAGTTCTAAATCTTCTATATTTTATAATAACTATATATTATATTATACTAATCTTTCTAATCTATAGAGAAACAAAGAAGCTTTGCTAGCGCTAGAATAGCGCCTACTAGTATAGTTAGCTTAGTAGATTAGCTTATAGTTAGCTTAGAATAAAAATAATAAGTATATAATATATATAAAGAATACTTAATATACTAGTAGAAGTTGCAGAAGTTAATTAATACCTTCTAGGCTTATAACTATTATATAATAGCAGTAGCACTAAGCTAGATATTACTTAAATAATAGTTAAAAGCCTTAAATTAATCTACAAAAGAGAGAATTATATGCGCTCTTTAAATAAGTGCGCCTAGCTCTACGCTTTAGGTGCGCATTAACTTAATCCCGTGCGCGTGCGTGTCTATTAGCCCTAAGTAGATATGCTAGGGCGCGTTGGGCATGCCGTTGCCGTGCGACAAAAATACTTTCCTCGCATTAGACCCATCTTTCCACGATAATGACCCGATGGTTAAGCTACGCCGGCATGTGATCGATAACCGCGCGCTGAATAGAAGAGAGTAAGCACTTAATTGCTATGCAAAATCCACATCCACACTATAATAACGCAATTATAGGAAGAGTTATCCGTTCTGCAACCATGAGGGAGCCAAGGTAAATGACACGTTAAGCTGGAAAGATTATAAAGCCATCTCCAATACGCATGCTGGAACAAACAGCACTCCTGGTAACGAAACCCAACACAACGATCAAAGCGGCACACCTAAAAATGAAAACACACAGGCTAAGAAGATAGCAGCGGAAAACAAACTGGAAGACAATAAGGAAACTTTCCAAGTTTTTATGCTTAAAATAAGCTCGAAGCCTGACGATGTCTCTAAAGACGTTCTCAATGAGAAGCTTAATGCGAAGCTAGACACTATTCTACATGTAAAGATAGGTTTTCCAAGGATATGGGATAATCCCGATGACTGACAGAGATAGTAGAGAGAACCGACAGCCAAACCGATGTGGAGGCTTCAGTGTAAGAAAGCATCAGGTGAAGCAAAGCTACCTAATGATATTGAACTGACGAATATCCAGGGGCGGAGGTATAGGGAGCTTTTCTGCTGCGGTTTCAGCAAGTTTGAGTACACAGGAACAGACAAACTTGGGTGCAGCCTTTGCAGAAACGAACAAACATGTTCATATTTCATATGATGTAAGCATTACCAGATCCCGATCTCGCCCTCCGGTGGTCGAAACTTTGTTTCTTATACTTTCCCTCAGTTTCCTCGAGTAGTCGTGTACCTCAATAAAGACGATGTAGATGTCACGGCTGAGTGCAAGGCCGAGTTGCAGAGCATAGCGCAGGATGACAAGGGTAACGCAAAAAGAGTGGATAGCAAGACACTTGAGGAATTTCTCAACAAGTTTGGTAGGCTGAAGGCTAACAGTGGCACGTCTTATGGCGCAATGCTGACGATATATAACTAGGCCACTTCATTCCTATGAGAGTCGAGCTAGGCGGACGATTACACTCATCCGAGAGCTTGGGGGAAGAGAGCACGGCACAGAGCGTTCAGAAAGCCAACGCACTCAAGGTAGCAGCCAGCCTGTCCTTCTCGTCCCCATTCGTACATGCTCGGCTAGCGCGAGCCACGAGGCTTCCTCAAGCCAAGCACATTCGACGACAAGCAGCAACCTAATGAGGACGATCTGTTGGGAAGCTACTGGAGGCAACACTCTCCTGTGTAACAAGTGCGTAATCGTCTACAAGTTGCCGATTTTCAGAAACTAGCTAAACGAGTACAGCCCTCCAGCCTGGTGTTCCTCTGTTGGATTATACCATAATTGGCGAGTGAGTGATGAAGGCGAGTACGGCCAGAAAGTAAATAACAAAAAAATCTGCTTATAAGCCAAATAGCAAGGCAATATCATGCCCGTTGCCGAGTTAATACTCCAGTTACTCCCTACGGAGCCTCAATTTAAAGGCCTTATTCAAGCATTTAACCAAGTGCTAGGTATAACAAGGAGCGTACCCCAGGTTTCGACAATACAGTTCTCTCTAAAATTAGAAAACCCCGTCCCACCCCCGCCTCTGCCAAATGATGGCGAAGAGCAATATTTGGGAATGTTTAGGTTGTCCCGCGCTTAGTTCGCTTTGTTTAAAATTCACAGAACAAGTCTAGTAACAGGATCACTAGACATCGCAAATAATGAGAGCATGGAAGAAGTATACAAGAGCTGGGACGACCTCAAACGAAAGGACCCCGACAAGTACCGTGACGCGTACGAGGAGTATCGCCAAAAGCATAAGTTGAGCACTGCCGAGCCTGCTTCTCGGTTTAAGAGCTACATTCTCGGCCCTGAGAAAAGAATTGGTGTTACACAAGCCAAACCGCAGAATCTGGTATTTTCCATTCAATCGGAAACTGACCAGGTAAGTCGCCCTCTCTCATCCAACGCTCAGAACTAACCGTGCCAGCTACAATATGGTGTGCCCTACAAATGGTCGGTCGACGCCGCGGGCTCCCGCACGCGCGCTAGCAATACGATTAAGGACCCGCACGAGATCTCAAGCTCCTACCTATGCCGTGCTAGTGATGGGGAGTTGACAGATTTTGGTTATAAGTCGACCTTTGCTCTACGAAATAAAAACGCAATCGGAAGCAAGGGGCCAGTCAGCAACGGAGCTGAGATCTGTATTTCTGCCATGTCTCAGGATGGGCAGGCGTTTGAGGACGTCGGCGTGCTTGGTTCGCGGCCTCCTGTACCGGTTGGTATGTCGTTACAGCATCCTGGGGCGTTGTACATTCGTGGTAGAATTTTTTGTAGGTTGGACTAGGGACTGGCGCTCCAGCACAGAGTTGAAACTACCCCTAGGTTCATAGGAGTCTGTGGATGCTCACAATAGTGATATTCGGAGATAACTCATGCGATGCTGGTTACTTTGGCAGCCTTACGCCATGTACCCGCTCTACGTGGTTCTTGAAAGCGCCCAAACTGGTTAGGAAGTCACCCAAATGTTCGTGAGCCGATTGTTAGCTCGTTGGCTTGTTGGTCAGTCTGGTTGTGAAAAGGGGCATATCAAGTAGGTTGACAGCAACTGCAGGAGAAACTGTCTGCAAAGGCAAGGTCAAAAACATAAGATAGCGCCCAACAGGCTATTTATTAATGTTATCTACTTAATCTTGTAGCTAAAGCAAGACGCCCAGACCTACGCATTGCCTTATTCCAGGTGTCTTCGTCGTACTTATTAACCGTAAGATCCTCGGCTTCTTTCAGTGCCTAAGTTCCCTAGAGGTCCTTAAGAGTGCCCCAAGTTGGCTTCTAACAGATCTTGAACTAAATGCGTCTGTTAACACCTTCCTAGATCGCTCCTAAGCTTAAGTACTTAAAAACCTGTCTTCTGCTAACTAAGGCGCGCATCTTCTGAATATAATGTTCGCCAGAGCTAGTGCTTCTTATTGTATTCTTCCTTGTCTTCTGGTTACTCCGTTAGATCCTCCTAGTAGTCTCTTCATCGTCCGCCATGCGTATTGTAGCACCTTCCAAGTCGGTCTCTGGGCTAACAGTTCTTAATGTAATATCTCTTGAATCCAAGTTGGAGCCTCTGAGACTATTTTCAAGGACGGCTGAAGATGTTCTTAAGAGTTTTGCAGCTTAATGCTGGGGACAGAATTATAGTGTCTTGCATTAATAAGTAATAACCCAGCTAGAGGTGCGAAAGATTCCTTTGCGGAGACAAAGGGTTGTAGCAATAAACAGCAGCAAGTAGGGGACAGCTAGGAATAATTCTTCTCTAAAGTAATTCGATCTATTCTTACTATTATAAAGTTACCATTTGCCTAAAGACAATGAACGTAGAGAAGAACAATAGAGGTAGTCCGGTAGGGACGTTTAAGCTCTCTTTATAGACGAAAGAGTAAGAGCGCTCTGTTAACAAGAGTAGAGGGGAGCTAGTTAAGTAAAGGCAGGCAGAGAATAATAAGTTATAGGTAAGATTAAATAAAGATTTAAGTTCTTACTAAGCTTTAAGTATAAATATAGTCTTTTTTATACTTATTACTTATCTCTAGTTACTAGTCTAGTTACTTTTAAAATAGCTAGGCTAACTACTTTTTTTTATTAACTTAGAACTCTTTATTTATATAAAAATTAAGTAATAAGATTTTCTAATTTAAGTTACTACTAGTATATATATAAAGTTATAATAAGTTTATTTTTACTTATCTATATAGAAGAGAACTTAATAATATAGTATTACTTACTTTTCTCTTATAATTTACTTATTATCTTTTTATAAGCTCTTTTCTATATTATATCTTAGTAGAGTTTATATTTATTAAAGTAATTTTAGTATTTAAATATAAAGTTTTATAGATCTTTATAGCTTTAAGAACTTTATTACTTTTATAAATATTTACTATATAAGTAATTTAGCTTTTTATTTTCTTAACTTTAACTTTCTTACTTTTTTATAAATATACTAAATATAAAATTAACTTATTAAATAACTTACTATAAGTATTTAAGTAGTAAGAGAACTCTCTCTATTTATATTATTAGTTATATAAAAAGTAGAGAATATTTAGTAAAGACTTTAAGTTTAAAGTATTAACTATACTATAAACTCTTTAAATATAACTACTTTAAGTATAAAGATTTATCTTAATTACTATATCTTTAAGGTTTATCTACTTATACTTAAAATATAAAAATTAAGCTTTAAAGATATATATATATAAATAGTAAATATATTTTATAAATATTAATATATTAAAGAAGGTTTTATAGCTAAAGAGATAGAGATATTATATAAGTTTCTTTAATTTATTTCTAAAATAATAAATATCTTTAATTTTATTTAGTATACTTACTTTATTTATAAAAGTAATAAAATAATTAGCTAAAGTAGAAGTAATATTTATTTAAAATAAAAAACTAGCTAGCTTAGTAGTATAAGTACTATTATTTCTAAACCTTTTTTCTTTTAAATTTTATACTTTTTATTTAAGATATACTATTAATTTATTTATTATATATAGCTTATCTACTTTCTTAAAGTACTTATAGTACTTATTTTAAATTTCTAGTCTTTTTAAGTAGTTAAGAGTATATTTAATTTATAATAAGACTTTCTTTACTTCTTAACTAAATAACTTTTCTTTAGCTATAATATATTTTAGCTTTTTATAAAGCTTTATTATATTTTTTCTTAATTTAAATTAAATAATTTTCTTTTTAGTTAAATATATAAGTATATTTAAGTCTTAATTATATAGGCTATTAAAGATAGCTTTCTAAAGCGCTATATTATACTTTACTTTATTACTAAATATAATATTTACTAAGTTTATATATAGTTTAACTAGCTGATAGCTTTACTTAAATACTTTAGTAGAATAAAATACTATAAAGTTTTAAAGTACTAGTTAAAGATATTTTAAAGATAAATAGTTAGAAGTAAGAAGGTACTTTAATTAAGAAGTAGCTTACTATTTAATTTACTTACTATACTAATATAAACTAAGTAGAAATAAAAGCTAAATTAAGATTTTAATATTATTTATACTTTATTTTAAAGATTAATAAATTTATAGTAATTTATTAATATAATATACTTATTATTACTTATAAACTTCTCTTTCTAGTATAACTCTATAAAGTTAATACTTTTCTTAAGTATTTTAAAGTAAAGTACTTTATTATAAAATATAAACTTAGTTTTAAAGGCATTATCTCTTATTGCTTTAATTTATTAAGAACTAGCTTTATAAGTAATAGTGTATAAGTATTACTAGTATTAACTATAAACTTAAGGAGAGAAA